AAATAAATTTAATTAATTAAAATAAAACTGGTTTTGTCAGAGAAATAAGGTCAGGAGAGTTAGGTTTAAACAGAGAGCCGGGCTGAGAGTCAGAAATCTGAGCTTTGAGGGTAGAGGCCAGCCCAGGTAGGACAGTCCATGGGATTCTCCTCTCTAACCACCAAAAAAATCCAGAAGTGGAGCTGTGACTCAAGTGGTAGAGCACTAGCTTTGAGGGAGGAAAAAAAAAAGCAAAAAAATCACTCAAGGACTATGGCCAGACCCTGAGTTCAAGCCCCAGGATCCAGGAAAAACAAAAAAACAGGCACTGGTGGTTCACACCTGTAATCCTCACTATTTGGGAGATCTGAGGATCACAGTTCAAAGCCAGCCTGGGTAGGAAGATCGGTGAGACTCTTATCTCCAATTAACCACTCAGAAAAGTAGAAGTAGTGCTGGGGCGCAAGTAGTAGAGTCCTGGCCTTGAGCTGAAGAGCTGAGGGATGGCGCCCAAGCCCAGAGTTCAAGATCCATGATCGACCAAAAAAAAAAAAGAGGAACTAGGGCAGTGGTGAGGGGCATTGCCAATAATTAAACAGTCCCAGACCCAGGCGAGGCCGTGGTCTTTGGGGGGGTTGATGGTGTGATCGGTTGATCATTAGCTCTGGAATCATTGGTCAGGCTGGGCCTGGTCTTCATAAGAAAGTCCTGTTGCTCGTGGGGGGAGAGATAGTTTAGACTCATCACAGCCATTATCCACAGCCCAGTTCTTCCTGCATTCCTGAAGGGCCTCAGAATGAATTCAGATGTAAAATGGAGGCAGATGATGGTGCTTATAATCCTGAAGATAAAAATCTCACAGAAGTGGAGCCTGCTTATGCTCCTAAATTGTCTTTTTCTATTGATCGGCATTGTTTACATTGTGATCTAAACCCCAGACCTGCAGGACACGTTGCTGACCCAGCCACTTTCAACACCTCCACTCCACAACACGGTCTCTCCCGGGCCAGCTCTGCGGTGGCCTTCCAGAATCCAGCCAGTCCCGCAGCGGGCAGGGAAACATTGCTTTAAGGCAAAAATAAGTATAGTAAGAGCAGTCTGTTTCCTCATTGTACCCTTTGTTTGACACAAGTGCAGCACACACAGAAATACAGGTCAAGAATCCAGTAACTTTTTTTTTTTTTTGCAAATTCTTTATTGTGATTAAGTGGTTACATAATTTCCCGAATTTCACAGTATTGTGGGATAGTGATGCTTAGTTAAAGTCACAAACACATTCTAATCTTCATGGGGCAAATTGTCTATCGTGGTCTGTAACATTTATGAGTTCTATGAGCTTTGCAATACAGTTATTTCTTCCACATTGGGTGATGTGTACATTTCTTTCATTTTGCATAGCATCAGCTGTTCCCTCTTTCCCACTCATTCCCTCCCTCCCATCACTGCCATTGAGTTGCTTAGTTCATTTTGATCAATGTTTAGTGCAGCTGATGGGTCCCACTGTTGTATGTTTTTCCCTGAGTCCCTCTAGTTCTGTGTCGTCCTCCTGGTTTCCCTCCAGTATGTACATATATACCATATATCAGCAGCATGGGGTCATTTAGGAATGTAGAATCCAGTAACTTTTGATATGTTGCATTTACACTATTCAACTAACCTCAATGCTGGCAAAAAAAAAAAATACACCATTTATCCTGTTTCACAGAGAAATAGTCACTTTGAGGTAACAGGAATAGACTTGTTGACTGATACTCTAGCTGCTGAGATGAGCAAGGCTGAAATGGCACATCTGTACATTTTGCAAAAGTAAGAAGGAATCAAACCGAGCCACACAGGTCCAAGAAGAAGTCTGCTCTACCGTGAATCCACCACCCAATCCCTTTTCTAACAAAGACTGATTACCAATCCATCTGAAGTGGGAAGTGCCTTTGTCTGAGTCAGCACCATTCCCTGAGAGAATGATAATCAGGGATCGACTGGTTTTCCTAGTGCTTCTCCCATTGTCATGCCCAAGGGGGTTGTGTATTCCACTTCCACTTCTGCGTTACTGTCCAGAGGTAAGTCTTCCTGGACATCTCATATTTCTGTACAGTGTGGACCTTTCCCAGCAAAAGATAACACTTGAATAGCAAACAGCTATTGAAAGCCAAAGGCAGTGAATCTAAGAGATTCAGAGACATAGCTCTCCCCAGAGATACCCCAGTATAATAATCCTCATAATTAACCCCCTTCCTTCCGCCCCTCCTCCACACCCCATGGAGGATTCTGGCTTACATTCCAGGATAATGCGTGAGCAATCTCTCCCCAGAGGGGAAGCTGGACAAGTGACCAGCTCCTTAATTCCACAGGGCACCTCACTGCAGAAGCTGGCAACATCGGGCATTAACCCTCTCACACAGGGGCCCGGTGTCGTCCAACGGTCTACATACAAAAACCTAAGAAATGAACTGGTGAGCTTGCAAGCAAAGCGAAAAGTCTCCGACCTTTCACCATTGCACGCTTCCCTGTTTGAGTTTTTCGTTTTGTTTTGCTTTGCTTTGCTTTTCTGCTTGTACCGGGGCTTGAAATCAAGGCCAGAGCTCAATCTCTTAGCTTTTTTTTTTTGTCAGTCGTGAGGCTTGAACTCTGGGCCCGGGCGCTGAGCCACAGCACCACTTCCAGTTTTCTTGTGGTTTATTGGAGATAAGAGTCTCATGGACTTTCCTGCCTGGGCTGGCTTTGAACGCAGATCCTCAGATTGAGATCTTTGAGTAGCCAGGATTACAGGCATGAGCCACCGATGCCCTGCTCCCTTAGCTGTTTTTACTCAAGGCTAACATTGTATTGCTGGAACTACACCTCCACTTCCAGCTCTTTTGCTGATTAAGTGCAGATAAGAGTCTGACACCTTTCTGCCCAAGCTGGCTTTGACTGACAGTCCTCAGACCTCAGTCTCGGAGTAGCTGGGATTACAAGCTTCAAACTTACCATTTTATGAATTAGATCATCACACAGCTTATCCTTTGGGGTTTTCATTAAGACAATCTAAACATCTCTCTCTCCCTCTCTCTCTCTCTCTCTCACACACACACACACACACACACACACACACACAGCTGAGCTGTTATTTGTCAGTCTCTATATCATTTGCCACTCTATTAGAGACACAGAATTAAGTGTTGGAGACATAGCAGGCGTAAGGAAGGAAGCTGGTGCTTGCATTTCTACATGGAAATCTGAGTTTCAGTCCCAGCTCCGCCATTAACTAGCCTCACAGTTCTGAGTTCTTTCTGCAAGCCTGTCTTCTCATTTGTAAAGTTAAAATTATATATATATAATTCCAGGGAACGTGAGAGGCATGAGATTATTCTTGAAACCAAAGGGGTTCCATGGACACAAAAGTATGGAAAGTTCTGTGACTTGAATGTCTTCCAGATCACTGAAATGATGGAGGGGGTGAAGGTGAGCAAGATGCACTGTGCTGACAAACCAACTCGTCAAACTGAAACCTTCTTTTACAACTACTTAAAGATCATAAAATTTCAAAATGTCTCCTCTACAAATCTACCTGCATATAGTAAAGATTCTGATACAGCCATTTCATTTCTTTTTTTAAATAAATTTTTTATTGTGAAAATACCATACAGAGGGGTTACAATTACATGAACAAGGTAATAAGTATTTTTCTTATCAAGCATTGTTGCCTCCTCCTTTGTTTTTTCCCTACCATCCCTGCCTTCCCATCTCCTCGGCTACACTCCCCACCAAAGTTGTAAAGTTTGTTTTCCAACATAGCATTTTGAACATCTCATTGTTGCAATGGGTCCACCTGCACAGCTCCCGGCTCAGCTGTGGGCTGGGATGGTGACTGGAGCCACCCCTGTCACTCCTGAATTCCACCGGCACAGGCAGCTGAGCCAGGCCAGGAAGATAAGCTGCTACCTTTGTGTGGAAGTTTTGGAATGAGTCTCTCCCCAACGCCCAGGGGAGGTGCATTGCTGCCAACTTCCTTCTAGGAAGCCTTGCCTTTGGCAATCTTACCATTCTTTTCATCCAGATGCAAAGCTAACCCTCAGAGCCAGAAAACTTTGTTTTCCTCTCTTCTTTTCCTTAATAAAAAGCCAAAGGGCTGGGGCACAGATGGCTTAGGCCTGTAATCCTAGCTACTCATTAGGCTGAGACCTGAGGAACAGGGTTCTAAGCCAGTCCTAGCAGAAAAGTCCCCATGAGACCCTTATCTCCAATTAACCACTCAAAAACCACAGAAGTGGTGCTGTAGCTCAAAGTGGTAGAGCGCTAGCCCTGAGCAAAAGAGCTTAGGGACAATGCCCCAGACTCGGAACTCAAGTCCCAAGTCCCTGTATTACCGACCCCTACACACACACACACACACACATACACACACACCACATTGATTCCTAGCAAATCAAGATTGAAGGATCAAGAGTGGGAGGTCAGTCTAGGCGCATTGGAGACCAGTGTCCTCTCCTCCAGCCAAGAGAAGGAGAAGGAGAAGAAGGGAAGGAAGGAAGGAAAGAAGGAAGGAAGGACGGACTGCATTCCCTTCTACTCATATCATGAGGACAACCCACACGAGTTTGGTGCTAATAATCATGGATTGTTTTGTCCTTACTCAACCAAGGCCTGTCTTTAGACATAATCTGCTAATCTCAGTTAATCTGCTCCACTGCCCACACCGGACACAGGCGAAGGAGCAGGCATGCCAGGAAATCAGCCTGGCGGAGGACTGAGGGTTGAAACTGGCCCCCTGGGGTCTGCATGGCTGAGGTCCTGGTGGAAAACATTTCCACTGCGTGAGTCAAGCTTCCTGCATTTTCCAAACTCGCACCTGGGCGGGAGGAAGCGAATGGAGCGAGACCAGCGCGGGAGACCGCCCCCGTGATGGGCGGGGCCACATGAAGCGCCGCCCCCGTCTCCGCGTCGCAGCGGCAGCGCCGCCCCCCGGCCGCCAGAGGCCGC